AGAGAAGTGGATTGCAGTCATTCGTAAGAGTAGAAATGAACCATTGTGGCCACCAGCTTCCCGCAGCGGGGTTTGTTCAACTCATTTTCAGAGCGACGATTTGTACTACACAACAAAAGGGTTACGTCGTGTAAAACAAAATGCATATCCAAACGTATTTTTTTTACTTAAAAAGTTTGCTTAACTTAATATGGTTAAGTACTTAGATTAATTTATATTTTAAAGATTCCAATAATTCTTCAGTCGTGCAGACGGTTAAAACACAAAATTACACCAATTTTATTTCACAATATTCACTATGAACGAATTAAAGAATAATTAAAATATGACGCTAACCGCACTCCATTAAAACCCCGCCAAAAACTCCAAAGGTTAAGCTTTGTTTTTATTATATATTTTTTAACTAAACTTTTATTAGTGTAACAGTTATTAAACTTATAAATCCTAGGAACCCCAGATCTCCAAATACATTTTATGTATTTTTTTAAATGTAGTTGTAGCTAAATAAGCTATGTTACTAGAGTTGGACGTTTAAACGAGAAGCACCTATTTAAGCATGCATTTATATTTCCTTATTATGTTTATTTGCTAACTGCTTATTGTTTGTCCAAGTCCTATCATGTATCATGTTGTGGTAGAACTACTTGCTCCAGTATCCCTATTTTGACGTACTAAGGCGGAGCCTAAAATGACTCACACGCAAGTAAACTTCCGGTTAAAGTGACATTACATTGTGTCGTTTGACGTTTTAATAACAGTCGTGTGACGTCACATACTAGTAAGACGCCATATTGTCCAAATAAACGTCATTGCGGCAACTTGAAAATGGAGTTTTTGATTTGGTTATTTTTACTGAAATACACAACAGAATGATGAATATCGGACTTTTTACGGACTCCATAAACATAAGTAAATAACGTGAGATCGTTTTCTAAAACTTGTCAAGAACCCTATTGGAGGCACTTGAGAGTCCTCCATTAAATTTAATGCTAGTCAATAACGTTAAAATACGTACCATGATAAAGCTATAATTATTGTTAATTGTAGACTGTGGGGTAAATGTAAATATATGGTAATTTAACCTTGCCAGAATTTAATCCATATTAGTGTTGCCGATCGATAGTCGACTATCGAGGATTAATCGATAGTCTATCGATAGCCGACCAATCGTATGACAATCGATCGGCTTATCGATAGTATCGATACTATCGATAGCACAGAACAAGCCAATACTATCGGATGAGTGAAATACTATCGATACTATCGATAGTATTGTAGGTCGGTAATAACAAATTATCGATAGTATCGATACTGTCGATTTTATTTGCAACTATACTATCGATAGTTTAACAATTTGGAATAGCATTGTTTACAATTTTCAGGTATTATAGTCAATCACAATCAACTATTAGAATTAGCACAGCTCGATAGAAATGTTTATAAAAATATATATATCGGCCTCTAATAGTCCTCAACTACAATACTGTTAAAACATACCTAATACTATTGCAAATTGGTAGACTATCGATAGTCTAAAAAAATCGCTAGTATCGATACTATCGATAGTATTGTTGCAGATAAAATCAACGGTATCGATAGTATCGATACTATCAATAGTTTGTTATTAACGAACTACAATAGTATCGATAGTATCGATAATATTGCACTCATTCGATAGTATTGCCTTGTTCTGTGCTATCGATAGTTTCGATACTATCGATTGTATCGATTCTATCGATAGACCTATCGATAGGGTACATGATTTTCGATGTAAACTGTCGATAGTTTTCATATCGATAGTTCGGCAACACTAATCCATATTAATAAGGGTGGTTTTTGAATAACACACATGTGCAGTTCCTTAATCCTTCACTTTCGTGACCCTACTCCCAAACTTTGACCCGCTATCACTTTGTCATTTATTGGTTGATTGCCCGAAGAAAAAATACGTGTCCATTATTTTTTGATCATCTAACTGACGGACTAAATAGAATTTCGTTTACTGTACCCCGTCATCACCCCTATTGTGGTATTTTTCGCAGGGCTTGTTTACCGGTTAATTTTCAAACCTAAATCAGTGTAGAGTACATTCGGAGCGTTTTATTTAGGTTTGTCTCTACCTTAACCCTAAAAAAAACGGTTTTCTTAAAAAGCGAAATCAAATAGGTTTTGAATCAATTTAGCGGTTTTTAAAGGGTTTCAATCCGCTCTTACTGACGGCATCGATAGTAAATGAATAACTTGAATATCTAGACGCTAGCAAATGTGTCAATAAATGCATCAATCTCTGAGCATTACCAAGTTGTGACTTGATTAGTTCAAACAAAACAAACTTCAAGCGATGCTGACGCGTGCACGTGTCGCTCTGGATTAAACCGGTTTATTAAGGTTTTAGGTACCGCTTTCATTACGGATGCGCGCCGAACGAAACCTTTACTAAAAACCGGTATTAACCTTTATTTACCGGTATTTTCGAAACCGGTTTCAAGTCCTGATTTTTCATATTCTGAGAGAGAAATTCACATATATTAACAACGCCAGCTTTATATTGAATTCGGTATGCGTTCTGCTGCCAAGCTTGTGTTTTTGCTTTCGCTAGCTTTATTCTGCAAATGGCGTTCGCATGGGACTAAGAAAAACAGAGGTTTTCATAAATACGATTTATTTGCATACTACTTACAACTTAAAAAAAAGACAAGTATAGCAGGCAACATATCAAGCGTAACACTATGTCTGTGAAAGTATTCCTTACAGCGAATCACTAGTATATTGACTAACGCATTGCAGTAAAAAAAAATTAACAAAGAAACTTATTTCGTTAATAAAAATAAATTGTTTGTTCCGACCACACATCTGAAATGGAACTTCTTTTCTTAAATAAGCTAGCATTTGGCGGTGCATAAGGCATAGAGGAATGGAGCATGGAGCAGCGCACGTATCACTCATATACAGGATGTTACAAAAATACAAATAAAGCTTGAAGGGCGTTGAAGTTTATCATATAAGGAGTCTTCTCTTATCTTTTTTTTAATATTTGCATGAAGATTAAACTTTTTATAAAATCAGTTATTTTTAATGATTAATAAAAATATCGATCATTTTAAAACACGTCACTAGTTCAAGAATCATTAAAAATAACTGTTTCTATAAAAAGTTAAAACTTCATGCAAATATTTTAAGAAAATTAGAACAGACTCTTTATACGATGTACTTCAACGCCCTTCGAGCTTTATTTTATTTTTGTAACAGCCTGTATATGTATATACATATAAGTGAGTGATACGTATATGTATATATTGCCGCGGGTGAGGCTCGTAGCGTTACCCTCCAACTTTCATGCTCATCGGGAAGAGCTGCGCACGCATCCCACACACACAAATATATATATATATATATATATATATATATATATATATATATATATAGACATGTGACGCATTTCCGTTTCATCTTTTCCATAGGATTATTCCACTTACACACCTTCCGGAAAGAAGTATTACTTCAAAAATATACTATTTAGTCTTGAAATCAAATAAACCATATAACTCAATAATAATGATAAATGCACCATAAATGTATAGTTGTTACAAAAATATGTATTACACCCATTCATTGACATATGGGTTTATTTACTCAACAATTTTGATTCAGTAAAATTTAAATCCAACATTCAGTTATAACATAATTATCAAGAAAGTTAACTTTAAATAAAACATCAACAATTAAGAATGATAAGGGTGGAAATTTAATTTAAGCCGCGACACAGAATCGAAATTTAACAAATTTTATTTTATATCCAAACAGGCATAATAGGGTATTTGACAGTATTAAAAATAAAGTGCCAATTGTTAACATCTATGTTTAGAATGAATATTGGCAGGATTTTTTACTATTTTTACAAAAAAAATATTCATAATTTTACTAAAAACTAACGAAAAAGATAATAGTTTTCTTATCTATTGTCACGTGACAAAAAACGCTTGTGATTGGCGGAGCCTAAAATGACGTCACACGCAAGTAAACTTCCGGTTAAAGTGACATTACATTGTATCGTTTGACGTTTTAATAACAGTCGTATGACGTCACATACTAGTAAGACGCCATATTGTCCAGAGAAACGTTTTCGCGGCAACTTGAAAATGAAGATTTTGATATGATTATTTTTACTGAAATCACACCAGAATGATGAATATCCACTTTTTACGGACTCCATAAACATTAGTGAATAACGTGAGATTGTTTTCTAAAACTTGTGAAATACCCTATTACACCTATTAATTTACCATATATTCATAAACTCATTTATTTGCATACATTAAACAATCATAATAGCACAAAATCCTTATAGATTTATCTGTGCTGCAGAGTCGCTCCACAGCCAGTTACGCCAAATAACTTGCCTGGTTTTCTAAATAATATTTATTTTACAATTTTAACAAAAACAAGATTGAGAATCTTATTTCAAGTAATATAATGCTCAAATTCAGTTGGGGAAATTTGTCAGTTTAGTATAATGGCTCGATGTATGTACATATAATATATACACTGTATTTTATTATCGAAATTTAGCTAACGCTTAAAGATTTTTATTAGAATAAACAAATTGTTTTAGATTTCATGCTCGAATCGAATTCTCTGAACCGAAGCTGTTCAGACGAATGCACTAACCATTTTGATTAGATTTTAGAGGATTTTAGAAAGAAAAATAAATAACAAGTAGAAATTTAATTGACTATATAAGTACTTATTGTATTTTATAAGGTTATTTTCACATTAAAAATAAAAACAAATACTAGAAGAGAATTCACACGCCCTCTAAGGCTTTTTAATATAACGTTAGGAGCATTAACTCCGTTAACGAAGATAACATTTCTAGTAAAAATTTACTAAAACAAGTTTAAATTTAGCCTCAGTTTACAGAACATAAGGCACGATGGATCGCACGCAACACGAAATGCGTGGCACCTAAACAAATATGAAGTCAAAAGCAAATATCAATTCCCACCAGTACAATACAACGCATTGTGTTGTTAACACGCCCCGTGAACATAAAGTTTTTAAACTAAAAAATAAAAACAGTGCCATCTTGTTCGAACATTGTAAAAACTGTTCGCAAAGGCAAAATAGTTCTTTAATTTTGACTTTCATGGTTTCAACTGCCTTTTGTTCTGTAATCCGTACCCTAGCACGAACCAATATCGAATTCGAATAGTTTGCGAGTGCGAGATGTCATCGTCCAACATAAACAGCATTTTAGTTCTCGTTACGTCCGTTAAGGCGTTGCTGTTCAAATTTCCATACAAAATTTGACAATGACACTTTGACAACCACAATCGAATTCGTAACGTTTGCGAGTCCGAAATGTCATTGTCAAATGTGTACTGATTTTTAGTTCTCTTAACGTCCGTTAAGACGTTGCTGATCAAATTTCCATACAAAATTTGACAATGACACTTTGACAACCACAATCGAATTCGTAACGTTTGCGAGTCCGAAATGTCATTGTCAAATGTGTACTGATTTTTAGTTCTCTTAACGTCCGTTAAGACGTTGCTGTTCAAATTTCCATACAAAATTTGACAATGACACTTTGACAACCACAATCGAATTCGTAACGTTTGCGAGTCCGAAATGTCATTGTCAAATGTGTACTGATTTTTAGTTCTCTTAACGTCCGTTAAGGCGTTGCTGTTCAAATTTCCATACAAAATTTGACAACGACACTTCGTACTCGCAAGCTATTCGAATTCGGTACTGGTTCTCGTTCGTGCTAGGGGTACTGAGCATTTAGCAGTTGCGAAACTAACTCACCTTTATGCAAACCGTCTGTAGAGAACAAATTCGCTTAGCAAAGCGTCACGCTGTAATGTGCTGCCATCTATCGTCTACTAGTTTTGTTGCGCCTGAGGTTTCGCCGAGGCAGCGCCAATTTCGCTCGGCTCTTGTTCTGTGGCCGCTTTCTCTAAGTTCCTGAGACTATTTTCGAACTCAATGGGGTCTATTAACTTCTTCCGGGGGAATGGTGGGGGGCCCAATATGGCTTCCACTTGTTGATAGTTGAGCGTCTCCTTCTTCAAAAGTTCTTCGGATAGCTGCGAAAAATGAATGGATACCTTATTGGAAATTAATGAGAGAGAGAAGATTTTTGAAGTGAAACTTCTTTATCGGCGTTGGAAAAAAATTTACCGTCACATTTTTCGGTTACGCGTCACATTTTTCCGTTACGCGCCATCTTTTTTTATATTAATAGTTGATAGATGAATGATCACACTGTCGCCGGCGAGAACTCTCTCTACTCGTTTGTAGCTGAGTGACAATAGTTATTAAAGATAAGACTCGCTCAGCCAAACTCGCATAGCGATACTCGCTCAGCGATTCTCGCTCAGTGATACTAGCTCGGTTAAGCTGGCTTGGCTGTCAAAAGCCGTGCGCGTGCATTTTAACTCAGGACTGCCAATTCGTTTCTAGTTTCTACTCGCTTATCGTTCATCGTCGGAGGTGGAACATGTGCCTTAGATTACTGAGCCGTGTAATCATAACAGTTTCATAGGCAGTAATTTGTATTCATGTCTATGATAATAAAATCCTTTTGTTTAAACTTTATCTAATTTAACTTTATTTAACCAATTTCTGGAAAGTTGCATGTAGATCATTTTTCGAAAAATAAGGTCATAAAGAAGTTTCACTTCTTACGTGTGTACACTAGTACACGCACACATTTTTTTTTGTGAGTGCGTGTGTATGTGTGTGTGAGTTCTTTTGTTTTGTTATGTGAGTTGTCAGAATTATCGGAGGTAGAGCTTTGAAAATTCAAATATTTGATTATTAGTATTCAAATCTAAAGAAAATATAACTAGAAAAAAATCGACGCGGACCAGGCAGCAGACGGAACTCGAACCCGCACCCTACGCAATCAGGGCCCTGACGGCCGCGTCGAAATTCTTCTAGCCATTCTTAAGCTAGGTAACATAATTGGTCAGTGCATTCGCCCGGATTGCGAAGGGTGCGCGTTCGAGTCCCGTCTGCTGCCTGGTCCGCGTGGATTTTTTCCTAGGTATATTTTTTTAGATTTAAACATCAAGCAGTTACATTTTAAAAAATAAAAATTATAACTATTATTATTCATTTAATCATTTAATTGAAAAGTATCTGTATAATTTATGACGATGCTGTATTTAATATTCACAATTATAAAAAAATAAATTGAAGACCACTCACAGCAGCTATTTATTTCAATATGAAAGAAAGTTTGTACTGGGGAACTTAAATAACGTGAATGAAACATTTTTTTAAACGGGTTTTATATGCGTTTTTAGTACTTTTTTACAGAACTTGTTGAGAAACGTCAAGTTGTGAAATTAAAAGTACTCATTAAAAATGCATTTTAAGCCCGATTAAAAACTTGTTTCATCTAACGAGTGGTGTTCGTGACACTTTGAGTATACAATTATATTACAACTAGCAAACCAGTGAACCAAATGTTTTTTTTCAATTTTATAGTTAATATTATATGTAGTATATAGGAAGCGGCATTAGATAGGTACAATATTACTGTTATGAAAAATGACTAATACCCATCAAATAACAAATTACAAGAAACACTATGTCCATGCATTACGATCATTTAGATAATCATCAACTTTATAATAGCCCTTATTCATAAGAGTATTTTTGATCTGAGATTTAAATTTAGTCAGTGGAAGCTCAATCATGACGTCACATAGTATTGCTTTAAAGGTCTAAACAGCTTATCACTGCACTAGGTAAATATACATGAAGCCAGCAAAATGTACGTTCAATTATGACCCTTAGTAGACATGTAGCGAGACAACATGACATCACGCCGTAGTGCTGAGGTTAGGGATGTCGAAAGTTGAAAAAGAAATCGATATATCGATACATCGATCTTTTGAAAAATATCAATATCGGCTTCGATATATCGCGATAAAAACATCGATATATCGGACCAATTTTCCCAAAAATATCGTACAGTATCTCACGAAATATGACACGCGGAATAATAATGGAACGAAAATTATCTCCCTAAAAATAGACCCTATTTTCGAATGATGAAAATGATTGCAGGGCCTCTTTCGTAAACAAGAGTAGACAGTCACGCACTTCACAGAATATAATGGAAATCAGCACAACAAATTCACCAGCGAAACAGGTTTACAAATAATAGACAATACTAAGTATAGTACATTATAGATATTATGTTGAATATCATTAATCTGAGATCCAGTTACGATTTTTCCAGATACGAATTTAGTTAGATCGGGATATGCCGCTAATAATTAAAAAAATATCATTTTTGATACGAATTTCGTTACTGGTTATTTTGTATCGATGTATCGATATATCGAATCAAAATATATCGGCAAAAAATATCGATATATCGAACAAAAAATATCGATATATCGATACGTCGATATATTTTCAACAAGCCTAGCTGAGGTATTGCTGGAATTAGACATACGTCGATGAACTTAATAAAAATATAAATGTTATCAGGGCCCTATTTCATAAAAGTAATATCTTGGTATTTTTCACTTTATTGTAGTAAACTAGCAAACCAGTGAACCAAATGTTCACCAAAACCTGATTTAAAAAAAAAAACAAAAAAAAAATGTATTTAATTAATTGAGAACTTCGGAGATTTTGTGTGGTTTCGTTTGAAATTCGTGATTTCTCGAAAACCGGAAGTGCTACGTTACTGAAATCCGGTTTGTAGTCTTATCAGACTATTCTTAACTTATAACTAAAATATTCTCTTTATCTATCTCTTACGGTTTGGCCGCTGAAACAGCACCACAGACGGACGGACTTGTCTAATAGATAAGAGATGATTTTGAAAGTCATTTGAATTTACTACAGTAAAGCGCTTACCATCTGCGCCAAAGAGCTCCTACTTTCAATATTTCCTAGGCAGTTACAGTTGTAATGGTGTTCTCCTTTCCAAAAGTTTAATGTTATCAAATAAAACTAGTTTTTACGGGTTAATGCACGAAACTTTATTTATTTATTGACGTTTCGCAGCCTTTTCAGGTCTGCATCGTCAGAATAATGATTTTTTATTTAAAATTGTCGAGCTACCTTCGAAAGACTTATATTGAGCGTCCGGTTATTTCATTGGAAGATTTTAAAAATTTTATTGTCTATGTATGAATTGAACGTTGAATTTATTAGTTAATTTAGTTTTTTTTTTTTTTTTTTTAATGTACATTACTTTTTAATTATATATGTACAGAAATAAATAATATTTAAATACAAATTTCCTAAACCTATTTATAAATAACATCCTATTTACAAAATAAAAAATAAGTCACCCCCATCGCCGCCGTCAGGGATGGTGCCCAATAGGCTGGCAGCATTGCCACGTTGAATGGCAAGGCTGATCCGTTGACCAAGATAGCTGCCAGCCTTTTGATCACCAGTAACTTCGGTGAGTCTCTTTGATATTTCCCTAAAAAAGGAACGAGCACTTGGACCCCATGGGCCCATGGTCTCAACACCAAACGGCACAAATATATAGTTCTCATTGAGAGCTGAATATTTGCGCCGTTTAGAGCATTCAGCAGAGTCCGCCGCCGCACCCGCAGCAAGGGAGGTGCTCTCTGTGTGGCACGGAGCAAGCGTATCCGCGCAAGTTGCGTCCCACACAAGAGGGCGACCCTGCTTCCACGGAATGAGCGTCATTCCGTCAGGTCTCTTGCCATCGTCACGAAAGATGCCGCTAGGCTCAAGGACCGCTGGCACGTTGACTGCGACAAGAGCTCTGCGGATGACGTCATTGATGCAGGCGTGGCGGGAGACTCGGCCAGCGCTCATTTGGCATGAAAGACCATGGTGACCCAACTCACCGACGCGAGCACCGCAACGACAACGGTGGGGATGATTCGTCTTGACACCAAGTCGAAGCGATATTGCCAGAGACAGAGTGCTCTTGTCAAGCAAAGTCCCGATACTGGCTGAAGGTAAAGCTTGCAGCCAGTAGCCAGACTCTGCCTGAAAGACCGCTAGTAGTCGAGCACGCTCAGTGGCGTTTTCAGAAGAAGCTAAAAGGTCACTCTGAAAACGCAAACAGAGCGGCTCGTCCCACTGTCTCTGAGAAGATAGAGAGGTTGGTGGATCCACTCCCGGGCATGCCCTAGACCAAGCGTTTCTAGCCTCTGCAAGGTGAGCCAACTCCACTACACCCAAAGACGGGCATAGTATTTTACTAAAGAGCTCGGCTGTACCATATGCAGAAGATAGAAAAGCGGGAAGGGCAATATGGGAAATATGACGAGTACCTAGACCTCCGAAACGAACAGGGAGAGAGGCCTGCTTCCAAGCGTTATCTGAAAATGAACAGTTTAAAATTTTGGAGAGTGTCTCTCTGAGCGAATTGTCAATAATTGCCAGCTGTCCTGGAAAAAGCCAAAAATGAGTGCTTCGTAAAAAATATATAAATTTTGGGGCGAACGCACAAAAACGAATTAAATATAAAGCCATGTGCGGGTTAATTTTCAACATTTTTTCGGAGGAATGCTGGAATTTAGAAATTTGTTCATTAATAAAAATAGGAATAGCATCATCAAAAATCGGGGAACCTAAGAGACGGAGTGATTTATTATCAAGAATTTTGATATTAGGAGCTAAAGCCGAAAATTTTGTGACAATATGTTTTAACTGTTCAGGTGAAAATTTTGATTCTGGAATAAATAGCTCACATTTTGGAAAATTTAAATCAAGGCCAATACTTTTGAATTTATCGATAATGACGTGAAAATCTGAGAGAACCGTTGAAATATCGCCAGCGATAGTTCCGTCGTCAAGGTACCATACATTAAATTTAGAATTTAGCGAATCAATAATGGGTTGTATAGCCAAACTAAAAATAGCGGGCCCAAGAGGATCGCCTTGCTGGCAGCCAACTGATGAATACAAAAGGTATGAATTTATTATTTAATTAACTTAATAAAGTATTTTATTTAAAATTACTGTCTGTAATTTTGAGTTTATTTATTTGACCCTAACTACCGTAAACTACCACCGGTTCCAATATTGGGAGACCTTCCTGAGAAGAACCGGCGAAACAATGTAATCA